AATTACAAAGAGATACACATGCACATTTTAAAACAGAAATACCAAATATACAGATATGTATTAAAAGTGAAAGAACACAGAAAGAAATACACAAATAGATTAAAATCAACAACAACAGACCAGAACATGCACACTTACACCTTCACACACAGGGAAGTGAAAATAAGGAAGAGGAGAGAATTTGCATACCATAAAGGAAGTGCAATAAAATTTTAATGAAAAGAAGAGAAGAAAGGAAGGAAGGAAGGAAGGAGGGAAGGAAGGAAGGAAGGAAGGAGAGATCTTGTTGCACGTATGATTGGCAAACTTCAAATCAAGTGTGTGCATATAAATACTTAATCTCACTTCATTACTATGTATCTTTATTGTCTGTTGATAGTTAACATATAACTCAATACTATTGAGCTATGAGTTTCATTTCTATGGAAAGGCAGACAAGAAATTCAAGAAAAAAGTCTCTCTCAAGACTATTATTATATCTTAGGTGCCTTTACTTCCAAAGGGAGTAGATAATAAGATTTTATTTGTAAAATATTCGTGATTAAATTTCATTTGTATTATTTATTTGCATACACATTTGCACATATGTGGATCTCAAAAACAAAATTCAATTTTAACTCAATCAATGTAAATTAAAAATAACTTACAGGCATTCTTATCATTGGTAGTAACTTCTCAACTGTATTGTTCACTGTATCGATGTTTGTTGGTGTTACAAATAAACGCTGTGAAAATACAGAGAAGAATAATATAAAATAACTTTGAAGCTTATTATTACAAAATGAGTTATTGTAAAATTATCACTTATCTGCAATCTGTAATGGCACCTTTAATATAGAATAAACATCTTGTTTTCTTCCCTTGAGATAACTCTGGAACACTGTCAGTCTAACGTATTTATCAAAAATTAACTAAGTGGATGCTTGTTATTCAAACATATCTGTAAGAGTTTGTAAATGATAAACAAAGACTGAGTAGCCATGGATGCAATATCTCAGCATGTTTCATTATGGCAGTGGAAAGGAAGGAAGGTGGGTAACACAGAGCAAAACCCTTTGCTTCCTCCCCATCTAAGCTTCCTTCATTTTACACCCTTATTTTCATGCACAGCATATGCATAGTTCAAGTAAAATCAAGATAAACAGCAGCTGCAATTAAAAAATAAATAAAAGACAAAAACAAACAAAAAACAAAAGAAAATTAAAAACAAAATGAACAAAAGATGAGTGAGTACTCTTTTTATATCAAGCTTTGCATATAGGTAGGTGATATTCAGATATAGAACATGTAAATATGTGATTATGATAGAACTAGGAACCCCAAATGATTATCTTAGTAGTATGACATTACTTAATACTCCCAAGGACAAGCAACCTTCTTGTATTATTAGCTCTCTACTGCCTCTCACATTTAGAATCTGCTCGAGAGACCTAGGAAGACAGCAAGAAGAAAATAACATGAAATCACATGATAGGAATCTACGATACCACTGATATACTGAAATTCTAATACATTAGAATCGTATATGAAAATGGGTAGATAGATATATCTTCATGAAGATAGTTTCTATAGTATCAGCTATCTGCAGTAAATGTTGTGTCTAGGAAACAATCACTTAAATAGGAGACATGGCACAAGTGCCCCTCACTATCCATAAAGAACCTTGACCTAAGACCAAAGAAAAACACTTAATAAGTCATCTCTTTCTCAGAGTTTTTATGTATTGTCTTCTAACTGCTAGGCATAACCTGTTATCCTGAAAATAAGTGTGTGTGTGTGTGTGTGTGTGTGTGTGTGTGTGTGTGTTTTGGTGAAGATTCATCCAAGACTCTATCAAAATATGCAGGGTTACTTGAATTTTATGAACAAGAACACCTTACACTAAGAGATTTTACATCGTGCTATATATAGACTAAGAATTTTGCAAAAATATCTTAGAATGTGTAAGAACAGATGTGTTTTTTTTGGTTGTAATATAAACAGGAAGGCACCAATGTGTGCATTTGCACAGAATGAGGACTTAGTCACCTCTGGATGAAATTATAGCTCATAGCTCAGAAATCATATATTCTAGAAGGACATATTAGAACTCCACATACAGGAACACACATGTGCATGAAGTAACACACATACACAGAGAGAAAGAGAGAGAGAGAGAGAGAGAGAGAGAGAGAGAGAGAAATCATAATGAATTTAAAGAAAAGTAAAACATGATATTTTGTTGAATATCTGAAAACTTTTGTATAATTTAAAACAACAAAGTATTATTACAGAAAACCACACATGATATAGAGAAATAAATCACATGGAATATTAATTGACATTATTGTAAAATATTATGTTCTCCGAGCATTGCAAACATATTAAGATCTAAGTTATGATGGCAAAGATCTGTGAATTTCTCCTGATGTAGGTTTTGTTTTGAAAAAAACACATTTCAATACATAGAGTCTTTTTAAACAAAATATTTCTAAAATTAATGTTTTTAAAGAATAAAAATGAAAAGACATATGGGAATTTTTTTGTACACATTAAAATATTTCTTGACTCATGGTTTACCAGGGATATATAAGTAATTCTAAAGAGAAAAGATCAACCTTATAACAGATCACATATTTTTACTATGAGAAAAGATAGGTTTTTCATAATTGTTCAACATTACATGAAGTATGTTTAATGTAGAAAAATGAACTATACTGTAAGATAAAAATAAAAATCTATAAAGTTTGAAATTACATATTAATAAACTAAATGTGAAACAGTAAATTGCTGCGATAACTAACAAGATATGAATTTCAAAACAGATTACATAAAGCCATCTAGGCATGTAGGAAAATGCTGTCTTCTAGCCATGGCATGGGCATTGATTCATGAGGACCGTGTAGTTAATTGTTATCTCTACATTACTAAGTCAAAAAGTCAATATTTTATATATTTGTATTTGAAGTTAAGAGTAGGAGAAGACATGTGCAACTGAGCAAGAGGCTTAGGGATATCCCACGATTCACATGTAGGTGATTTGGCAGTTGATTTCTATACTTACATGAAACTGTCAAATAAAGACTCTAAAATCATCTGCATCTATGTATTTTACATATAAACAGAAACTGAGGGATCTATGTTCAGTCCAAGAATAAGAAAAATAAAAAGAGAAAATTTGGAGGAAAAGAAATCCTTAAGTAAGAGTAGCAAAAACATTTTCCTAATTCATCCATAGAAAAAGATACAGATTTATCATAAGTGTAATGAAATACATGGATGATTCAAAGAACTGTCAAACCTAAAAGGCCAAATTTTAAATATAAAATCAAAGAAAACCAGCAAAAAAATGACAAATATATGAAGGATCATTGCTGAATACTCACTAGAGAACATGGAGAAAGAAAAGTTGTGGAGGATATTTATTTAAATTAGAAGCAATTTTTATATTCTGAAAACATCTCCTCAAGGAAAAAAGAAAATTAAACATATCATAACATGAGTAAAAGCTAAAAAGGATCTATTATCAATCTTCTGAAATACAAAAATTGTTTTCAATATTTATGTCAGGATAAAATAGGAAAGCACTAGAGTCATGTGTGAAAATCAATATAAATATTTCCTTTAAGGAATTGTATCTAAGTAACAATCGTGTTGTAAGACATCAGGAAATTTCTCGTGTACAATACTGAGCATTTATTTGCCATACTTGAAATCAAGCAGCAGAAGGAAGAGAACACTTCCCTATAGGTCTATCTGCTCTTTTTCTCTTCTCTCTCCTAAGGACAGATTTGGTTCAGCTAAACTTGTGCGTGTTCTCCTAATTTATGTCACTGGTTAGAAATTACTTTTATACTACACATTTCTCTTTCATTAATGTTTTGTGTGAACTTGAAAGTATGAAGATCAAATTGCATGATGATCATTATACACACCTTGATAAGTTCAATGCAATTTCAACTGTGACAAGTTAGAATATTGACTCTAAGTACATTTTATATGCATTAGCTTTTATAAAAGTCAAACAAAAATGGTGATCCTCTGAGGTACATTCTATTCTACTTTACATTAGGAATGGTCTTCTATGCTCTGCATGCTATATAACAGGTAAATCCAAGAACTGCACTAAACCCAATAGTGAAAATACAACAATAAGTATGAGAAAAAACAGATAATTATTTAATAGCTATGTGTATACCCCAATGATAAACCTAATATATAGTATGTGAAAGGACATGAGGTTTATCCTAAGCACTGTTCACACATATGAACATAAACATATACACACACACACACACACATCCACACACACATGCACTCACACAAGCACACACACACATCAATCATAAGTTAATGAAAATGATTTGTAACCAGAAGTTACGTGAAAAGATATCTCTATGCCTAGAGCATTCAAATGAATATGGAAATAAAGAGCCATGATTTTGTAATTGCCTTTCCAAAGCCCACGTGAGGATGCATAGAGACATACGGAAAGAGCAGAGAACAGAAGTAAAGAGATCAAATATTACAAAACATGTGGATGTGGAGAAAAAAATAATTTTTTATAATATTGTCATTTGTTTAAATTGTTTTATGTAATAACAACTATTTTTAATTAGGCAGAAATATATTACAATAAATAATATTTGAACAACATGTAAGTTGATATATAAGCAATAAGAACTCAGGGGGAAAAGCAGTTTAATTCTCATAATTATACTTAGCTTGGTAGGCTGTTGCAACTAACTGATTTAATTTTCAGTCATTTCAGAAAAAAAATTTCCTCTTTTTTCTTGCTTTAGCATGTGGATCAATCTTGCTTCATATTGCTTTTTATATATCACATATAAAAGACACATGAGTACAAATCATACATATATAGCTTTTCCATATATGTAAATTCTTGTTCTCTGTCCCCTAAACCCTCTTCTTATGTTTCCATCTTCAATTATTCTACAAACTGCCTGTCTCTCTGCTAATCATGGACTTGAAATGCCAGTTTTGGTTTTGTATTCACATACACTGTCACAGTATGGGATGTACTCACTGAATATCTGCAGTGAGAAATTTTTCTTGATACCCTTCTTGGCTTCATTCATGGGTCTGCTCAAATGCAACAAAAACACAAATCATAGTAAGATTAATTTGCTAGTAGCTTATTTTAAGCATATCCCTGTTAATATTTTAAAAGTATCATGTTAGTGTTAAATACAAGACAACCAGTAGAGCAATATGTATTATTGGGTTAGGGAATGTTTTAAAATGTTTCAGAACCAAAGCCATGGTCATGTAATAACTCATTGATCTAGGAAGCAGAGCCAATTCTCAGAATTTTTGTTTGCAAGATTGTTGTCAACCTGACTACAATTGAAATAATATACAATCCAGAAATGGAGGGCACACCTGTGATCTGGATCTTGAGGCTGGAAGACACGGGCTTCTGAATTGGAACTTGACATGGAGAACTTGAGGCATCATGTTCATGAAAAGCTTAGGCCCAGGTAAGGAAGAACACACCCACCATTAATCCCTAGATATTGATGATAGTGGATCTTTGAGTTCAAGGTCAGCCTGGCAAATAGCATGTTCCAGATCTAGGCATGGTGGTACGTACCTTTAATCTGAGCCATGCCTTCTATAGGAGGCCTACATAAGGATATTGGAAGAAGGAAGACTCACTCTTTGCCTATTTGCATTTACTGCCAGCATATCTGTTGATATATACTTCTTCAGGATTCCAGCTTATACAGAAGACCAGATGAAATAAAGTAGCCTCATGGACTGAAAAACTACTAGATATTTTTACTTCCCATTTGCCACTGAATATTGTTGGGTTAGTTGAAGTACAGAATGTAAATCTTTACAGGAATAGTACCACTGATCATTTTATTCTTTTGAAATGTAATGTTAAAAGTGAAAATCACTATAAAAGTCTTGACAATGCTAAGACTTTAAGATTATTGCTCATAAAAATTATTTAACCTAATGGCCACCAGGAGGGTGCAGGGGTCAGTGGTATTCCCCACATGAGTGCCTGCCTGAATGACATGTTTCCCTGGAATATTTGTATGAAAGGAAGTTGAATACAGTGTAGAAGCTAGTTTGGAATATCAAGACTTGACTATGTTCCAAGAGCCGTGTAACTATGGCAGTGCCAACAATTTCTCTTAGCTTTAGTTTCATATATATATAAAGGATAGTTAAGAGAGTATCTTCTTAGCATGAGTTTATGTTCACATAAAAGGTATCATTATTACACTAAACTACAAGTAATGTATATGACCTTTGGTTAGAAAACACTTAATTCAGGAAGAACACCTTTTAAGAAAAAAAGATATTGTTTATTTCCTTGTGTGAATTACAGAATTGGCATACAAGACAGGGGATCCTAGAAACTAGTGCTTTATTTCTGTAAGTCATATCATTAACTCTCCTAGTACAATTAATAATAAGTATACCAGTATTTCACTGTAGCATGTAATACTCTAATGTAAGGCGGATTAAAGACAAATTCACAATGCTAAAATTTATAACTTCAAATTTTATGTTGAATGAGTTAGAGCTCATTAATATTTAACACATTCACAGTGTCTTACAGTAATCATTATCTTGTTGATTAGCATTTTTCTTATCCAAACAGAAACCATTCCCCAATGCACTATTACTCTTCCTCATGCACACAACCCTATGCCATGTATTGTTTTTCTATCTGTAAGCTAATGTGTGCATTGTTTCCTCTTTCTGAAAATAATTATCCATGCTGAAACAATCTTTCATTCACAGAATTTCCTACTCCTTTTTGCTGGATGTACCAACATCATGTTGATATTCTCTGTAACTTCTTGTGGAACTACAGACTGATTCTTGCCCAAAGACTGGCACATTTATGTTTCTACCATTAACTGCTTACCCACTGTATACTCTACAGTCATTTTTATCAGAAAGGTGAATTATGCCTGTGCCCCTCATCCTATACATATGTGTGTATGTATATGTATGTATGTGTATATATATACACATACATACATATGTATACAGGAAGTCTAACAGATGCAGGAGAAGAGAAAAAGATTCACCATGCTAAAGAGGGAGAAAGATTCACCAACCATGTGAATTATAAGGCAGATTGGCCATTCTCTGCTTCCTCAACATGCCTGGGGTTGCAGACACGATATTTGAAACAGAATTATGCTTAGGGTAGATTCAGGGTGCTGAGCTAGAACTACAGTGACTGAGCAAACAAAGTTGAGGGCAGATTCAGAGGTGTTGAGCTGGGAGTGAAAAGAAGGGCATGATAGTTGAGGAAGGTTTAGAAGAGATGGTCATTTGGAAAAAGCATATCAAAATAAGCTAATATGTGTGTGTCTATCACCTGCAGATCTGTTGACCTTTACCCTTATCAGTCGAACATTATACACTAGTGATATCCTGCTATACATATATTCAAATACTTGAATATTCTATGAGTAACTATTTTTAGTTCTGTTCAGTTAAATACTATGTTTTATGGAAATTAACTGGTGAGTATTGGAGGTATTGCTCAAATTTAAATATACAATACAGTATTATTGGAGAGAAATCAATTTGTGTTCTTTCAAAATCTAGATAATACCAGACATTATGAGGGAAAGAATGAGGAGGATATGGTGAGTTCTTGTTTTATCCACATCCTTCTTAGAAGACAATGTACCTTCATGCTGCCCCAAGAATCTTTTGTATTTTTAATGAACATCACAGATCAAAAACTAATGAAGATGTTTACACATGAAATGTATGTTGTAGAAAGTATACACACTAGAATCATCATATAAAGTAAGAATTTAAGTTGGCAACCTGTATACAATCAGACTTAAATGGTCTTATTTTGCAAATATTCTGATTAATTGGTTTAACCAATTTAAAAGAATTAAGTTTCCCCACAATTTCTATAGCTATTGCCTTGTGAATACAGCTCCAAACTTTAGGTCTTACCGAAAGGTGGCCACAAAGTTTTCAGGGGGCCAAAACAGGAGAAGGGTCTTGGAACTACAGATTTCATTTCTCCTGACAAGGTCCACATCATCCACGGCCCACAAGTACTTCAGTGGGATGATAAATTTTATCTTAAACTTTTCATCTTCCTAGAAAGAGAATCAAATATCTCTGTTAGTTTGATTTGCAGTGAAGTTGGAATTGCTTTTGGAAATACCCAGTTCTTCCTGCCCCAGAGCAGAGGAAAACTCCTTCTTTTAATCACTCAGCCACAGTTCAAGCCATGGTAGATGGAATTCAAGAAATCATGTATTGAAAGAAGTTATTGGATACAAGCATCTCAGTGCACACAAATAGACATAGCCTGAGTGTTTTCTGATTGGAGAATGTCTAGAATGACTATACTATGAATATATGTATGTATATGTATATATGACACTTTAGAAAGCCATGCATTTCAAAATTTCATCCACAAATTTTGTTAATTAGTAACCATTTTCTTTATTTCCACAATGTCCATATCAAAAGATATTAGTTAAAATTTTGTACTTTAATTAATTACATTAATGATCTTTCTAAAGTAAATATAGGAATATTGTGTGACTCAAAAAAATTCATTTTGCATTGGCTTTCTGTATAGTAGGAAGTCATGTCAGCTCATTTCATATCAGTATCAAAAAAGATAATTATTCTCCAAAAATTTAAACAAAAATATGAAATATGTTCCTATCAAGCATTCTGATCTTATTAAAAGTGTTTGAAAGAAATATTAATCTTGGCACTGAGCAGATCCTCTGGGCAGCTGCTCTGCACCCAATCACACAAAACCCAGAGGAAGCAGGCCTCCCATGAGCTCTAACCCGGGAGTATTTTAGGTAAGGAGACAGCAACCCCTCCCAAACAGGGAGTAACTGGGACCCAGGAATTCACTCCTGGCCAGGAGCACTGGTTCCTTCTTGTCTGGGCCCGAGCACTGAGCAGATCTTGGGCCCCAGCTCTAACCCTAGTAGTAGTAACCCACAAAGTTCTGAAACAACAAAGAAAATAGGAAAGACATGCTCCAGTATGAGACAAGACAGGTAGCACTAAGGTGATCCAGATGGCGAAACAAAGTGCAAGAACATAAACATCAGTAACCCAGGGTACTTGGAATCATTAGAACCTAGTTCTCCCACACTAGAAAGTCCTGCATTCCCCATATCACCAGGAAAGCAAGATTCAGATTTTAAATCACTTCTAATGATGATAATAGAGGACTTTAGGAAGAACACAAATAACACTCTCAAAGAATTTGAGAAGAACACATGTAAACAGGTAGAAGCCCTTAAAGAGGAAACACAAAAATCCCTTAAATATTTACAAGAGGACACAACAAAACAGGTGAAGGAACTGAACTAATCCATCAAGGATTTATAAATGGAAGTAGAAACAATAAAGACATCACAAAGGGAGACTACCCTGTAGATAGAAAAATCTAGGAAAAATATCAGGAGTCATAGATGCAAGCATCACCAACAGAATACAAGAGATAGAAGAAAGAATCTCAGGTGCAGAAGATACTAGAGAAAATATTGACACAGCTGTCAAGGAAAACACAAAGTGCAAAAAGTTCTTAACACAAAACAGCAAGGAAATCCATGACACAATGAGAAGACCAAACTTAAGGATAATAGGTATAGCTGAGAGTAAAGATTCCCAACTTAAAGGGCCAATAAATATTTTCAACAAAATCATAGAAGAAAACTTCCCTAACCTCAAGAACGAGAAGCTCATAAACATAAAAGAAGCCTACAGAAAGCCAAATAGATGAGACCAGAAAAGAAACACCTTCAGTCACATAATAATCAAAACACCAAATGCACAAAACAAAGAAATATTAAAAGCAGTAAGGGAAAAATGCCAAGTAACATATAAAGGCAGACCTATAACAATTCTCACCAGAGACTATAAAAGCCACAAGATCCTGGACTGACATCATACAGACCCTAAGAGAACACAAATGCCAGCCCAGGCTACTATGCCCAGCAATACTCTCAATTACCATAGATGGAGAAACCAAGATATTCTATGACAAAACCAGATTTACACAATATCTTTCCACAATCCCAGCATTCCAAAGGATATTTGTGGGAAAGCTCCAATACAAGGAGGGAAGTTAAACCCAAGACAGCAAGAAAGTAATCCTGTTCCAACAAATCCAAAAGAAGATAGCCACACAAAGATAATTCCACCTCTAATAAACAAAATAACAGAAAGCAACAATCACTCTCACTTAATATCTCTTAACACCAATGGACTCAATTCCCCAATAAAAAGACATAGGCTAATGAACTGGATACATAAACAGGACCCAGCATTTTGCTTCGTACAGGAAACCCACCTCAGTAACAAAGACAGACACTACCTTAGAGTAAAAGGCTGGAAAACAATTTTTCATGCAAATGGTCCTAAAAAACAAGCTGGAGTAGCCATTCTAAAACCTCCAGCCTGAGAACAAAAAGGGAGGGACTCATGGATCCACCTGTATAGGTAGTTGAGGGTGGCCTTGTCAGGCAACAGTGGAAGTGGAAGGCCTTGGTACCCTATAGTTTGGATTCCCTAGTGTTTGGGAATTTGAGAGCAGGGAGGTGGGAATGGGAGGATGGTGGGAGCACACCCTCATAGAAACTCCCAGAATTATATGGATTAGACATGATTGAGACAGGCCACCAGAAGACTAGATTCCAGAATTCAAACAAAAACTATCTTGATACTAAGATTTGTTTTGAGAGTTGTATATTGCAGAATACACAGCCTTGCTGTATCTACTTATCAACCAAGCTCAGCAGACCTGCTCGAACCTCTGATGTCCTGGAATCTCAGCTGAATGCAGTGAAGAAACAGATATCAGAGGCTTATCAATTTATTCTCCCCCTGCCCCTAATATCTCAATGCCCGTAATAAGCTTGAAGAAGTTAATGAAGAGTAGGCGCCCCTATTCCCTGGGCTTGGGGACTGAGGTGGTTAATATTGGGCTGTCTTTCTAGGGAAAAGTGGTTGTTTTGTTGGAATCGGGAGGAATAGCTAGGACTTATTGCATAGCCATAACGTATTGTTAGAAATCTGTATAATTGTCATTAAGCTGAAGTTATAATTATTGAAATGGTATAAAATTTACTTTGATTTCAAATTTAAGGTTTTCATTGGTACGGGTTTCTTATTGATATAGAGGGGGGCAGGGGAACATGGAGGCAGATGTTCGCGTGTCTCTGCCAATCGAAGATAGTTGGTATATCTAGGTTGGGTATTGAGTTACACTTCAGATTGTATGGTTATCTTGTTATTCAGCATTACTGAACTTATAAAGCCTGTGATTAACATTTAAAAAAATAAATAAATAAATAAAAGGTCATTGTATGGCAAAAAAAGAAATATTAATCTTTGAAGCATAAAGTTCCTTCTTTCATCATTCCCAATATATGGAATTTTTCGTTTGAGAAATTCTCATACATACACAATGTATTCTGATTATTTATTTTAGTCCATCTCTCCTTTTCCTATATTTTGTCTGAATCCTTCCCAGATTCACGACTATTCCATTTTTTTTTATGATAGACTGAATAATACCTCAGTATGTGTATGTGTGTGTGTGTGTGTGTGTGTGTGTTTCTGTGTGAATGTGAACTTGGCTATATAACTCTGCCTTGGACACTGTTCAGCTAATATGTTGATCCAAAACTGAAGATATTGACCCTGCCTCTCTCAAATTCAGGAGACAATATGACACAAATATAAACCTTGATTAAAAAATCATATATATATAAGTGTTTCTAAACTTAAAAATGTGTGATTATTTGATATATGATACTACAGAGAAAGATTTCCCACAGTATCTAATGTAACACGTAACAGTCAAAATATAAGCATATTATGTAATATTTACTAAAGGATAAACATGCATACTCACATACCAACATAAAGGACATGTATCAATTATATGAAATATTTGTACTTATATTTTCTTTCCACCTCGAAACATCTAATTTATATATATATATATATATGCATATCTGTGAAACAAAATTCAGAAGAAATGCATAAACCTAAAACCTCTAATTCCAATATATGATAAGAGATAATTTTCCTTGAAAATGGAAATAATGAAAATCATCTCCTATGAGACTACTAATGCTCTTTCTATAAAATGAATGAAAATCTCAAAAAAAGTTTTAAGTATTATCACTAAACAACAGAAGTGGAAGAAATATATGGTCAAGAAAAACTATACATTTTAGTTTCCTTTACTCTCAAAAATCAAAGTGAATTTCACTTACT